AACAAAAAAATAAAGAAGTAAAAGTCCCTCTGTTTCTCAGCTGGATTCTAACGATCTGTGTGACCTTGGAAAAGTCAAGTCATTTCTCACGGCCCAATTTCCTCATCTATGAACAGAGAGGTTTAGACAAAGGTCAAATACGGTTCTGCAAGGTGGCCCGTGACCACTCTGAAGGGGTAGTTTTCTGTCGTGATTCTTGCTTTGCCAGGGAGATATTTGGAAGTAAAAAGTATGCAGAACTTGGCAAAGTCAGATATAGATTTATGATTCTCAGTGAATCCACTGATTTTTTTCCACCTAGGTCTCCTCAAGCCTCTCTTTGTCCAGCAGGTTTTGTTTTTACTTTCATGTTTCTTTTTCCACAATTAATAAAAAAAGATTTAGATGACTGCTATCGTTAGCAGAAGACGGATAATTTGGCAGTATAATATCGATTTAAAAATTAAAAAATAACAACGTGAATGATTAAACTTTTTAATAGACTTAAGTGCGAGCGCTCAATATTTTATATAATAATATTTCCATTGATTTACTGAGAATTACAAACATATATTTGGCTTTTCCAAGTTCTGTATATTTCATTCTTAAATATTTTCATCTGCAAAGCAAAAATCACAAACTTAAACTATCCCTATGGAAGTAGTCATCTGCCAAATTCTAAAGCTATAATTGGCCTCAGTCTAACTTTCTCATTTTATAGTTGCAGAATGGTTCTTTTTCTGTGTATGGGGTTATAAACATCAGTATTTCATGGTGTCCAACATGGAAAACTATAACAGTCAAATTCTCTATTGCTCAAGCTTATTTACAAGGCAGAATCTCAAAAGAACTGATTTTAGCTTCCTTTTCCTCATAAGACAACCGAAGCTTGGTAACGTGCCCAAGGTCACAGCTAGTTCGTGGCGCTCACAGGACTTAAACTTAGGCCTTTTGACTCTAGATTCCATTACAATATATCCCTTCCTAATTTGGACTTCTTGCCAAAATGTCGGTTCCCAGCGAGGATGGGGTTTATTCTGTTCTGCTATATCCTCACATTCTCAACAAAGGCCTGGCATGGCTGGAGCGGGCGGGCCAGCCAGCAGCCCCATGGCCATTTTCTCCCTATCCTGATCCCACGTGAAAGGAGCCATTTTTTTCTCCCATGTGCAGATGTCTGAGGCCATTTGGAATCCAGGCCTCAGAAAGAGAGACTAGGAAGGAAGACAGTGATTCCTTTCTGGCAACCCTGACTTCTCGGGTCCAGCTTTCTGTCTCAGGATGTTGACTGGACAGTGGCTTATTGGGAGACATAGCCCCAAAGAAAAAACAAACTGTTCCATGGGAACTAATGATTCAACTTCCAACCTCTAAAGACAACTGACTTCTCAGTTATCTACCCTATTACACTCCTGTCTAACTATATATGTTTATGGGATTTAATGATATCCAGGAAAGTTATTATTTATCTCCTCAATAACCTTTATGTCCCAGCAACAGTTTGACTTCCTCTGCTTCTTTGAAATCGGGAGCATGATTTCCTAAGTGGGAAGGAGTTTTGGAAAAGCAAGAAGGCAAACTCAGAGCTCAAGGAATAATAAGGGATAACACTGTAATCATAACAATTCATTATGTGTTTTGAAGCTCAATCTCTCAGAAGGTTATTATCTGGAGTCGAAGACTAATGGATTCAAGCTCTCTTTATGCAGAGGAAGACTTAAACAACACTAGTCACAGGGAAGGACATTAATCAGGAGAGAGAAGTAGGCCTTGTGCCTAATAATGTTTGCATAATAGCTACCCTTGGGTGGATTGCTCAACTTAGAAATAAATATTCATGCTTTCCATCTCCAGTACAATTGGAAATTATTTGTGGTTATGATTCTGTTATATGATCATCTACCTGTTCGTGGGGGACTTTAAGCTGGAGGCTGTTGGAAAGGAACAAACATAAATCACAATGCTTGTGCAAGAGTCTGGGGTAGAAATCGAAAGAGGCTATAATAGGGGCATTCTGGAGAAAATGATCGAGGAACAGCTCATAACTGTTTCTGGGAGCGGGGAGCAGAATCATACGGACATTAGATGCTCCTCTGGTTTACTTTTAAGTCTTCAATGGCTTGTCATCACCTGCAGGATGAAAGTTCAAGTGCCTTATCTTTACGTAAGAGGCACTCACTGGAGTGATCTCTGGGACATTGCAACGCCTGGCCTGGGAGCACGCTCCACCTCCGATGTGATAGCACACAGCTCCTGGCAGGTTCCCTCAGACACCACGACTTTGAACTTCCCTGTTTTCCTTCATAGCCTGCCTTCATCTTGCTAGGGTGTTCCAAACCTTCTTTGGTAATCGATCTCACTTATCGTGGAAGAGTTGGCTTAAACCTTATCTCCTCCAAGAAATCTTCTTTGAATTCCACAGTTTAGCCAATACAATTTCCTCCAGCTTCTTTTTTTCTTCCTCCTTTCCTCCCTTCCTCCTTTCCTCCTTTCCTTTTTCCCTCCTTCCCTCCTCTCCTTCCTTTCACTTTTAGTGTTCCTTAAATGGACTCCATCCTGGGGAATTTCTTCATTGTCTTGATTCATTACTTAAATGCACCGAATTTTATTACGCAAGTGCTTCAAATTAACAAATTCGTTTTTGTTTCTCTCCTTTATTCTTTTTCTCTCTTTCTCTCTCTGTTTTTTTTTTTTTTTCTTTTAATTTCCGGGAAAAGTTTGAATATGATCTCAAGAACACAGGCTCAGCATTAACCACACCCTCAGGCAGTTTCCCCAACCTTATTTCTTCCCTAATGCGAATATTGTACTTTAGCAAAGAGAACATCCTGTAGCATAAAAGCGCAAACTGATTTCTTCTCCCCGCCGCCCTGGGATTGCTAATTCCCTCTCCTGCCTCTCCCTCTGCCCTCCGATGTAGGGTTCACATCTCAGTGTTAAGCACCGCCCTGCTGGCGCCCTCCCTGTGCCTCCATCCCGTTCACATTGTATGAACAGAGATGTCTGCTCGACCCCACACACCATTTTTCACCCTATTGCTAGGCTCTTTCTGAAGGGGCCGTATGTCTTTTTCACATACAGTCACAAAAGTACTAAAAACCGCCCCTGTCGGCCTTATTTCACAAATAAGAAAATTGTTTCAAAAAGATGGAATGACTTCTTAAATTTCTGTGTCTGGTAAATCGCAGAGATGAGAATGAGATTCCAGTTCAGGGCCTTTCACGGCACGGTAAGCCCGATAACCTCTAAAGCCTAGTTTCCTCCATTTTCTGTGGGCCTCGCAGAGGACACTGGACAGAGACCTGGAGTGGACACAGGGACCTGCGTCATGGTGCGACTAGGCCGCTGCCGGCTCTGTGCCCCAAGGGAGTCACATTACTCTGAACCCCAGTGTCTCCATTTATAATGAGAGCAAGACGCTTGTTTCCTTAGGTTCTTTCGACACGGACCGTTTTATTCATTCCCTTTCTGTTATTTTTATTTCTCTCCCCTCTGACTCCTTGTCCCTCTTTGCTTTCCTTTCTCCTCAGCTCCAGGACTGATTGTTGTGCATGGACAGTGTACAAAGCGCTGCGCCAGAAGCCGTAGGGAGATGAAAAGAGTATATTGCTTACAGCTTGTTTTGGAAACGAAACATTCTTCCCTCTCTTTCCTGTTCTCCTTTTCCCTCCCTTCTACTTTCTTCATCCTTCTTCCTCCCACGCTTGGGCAGCCCTCATCATTTCCACAGACTTCCAACACTTTCGCTTTGTTCGGAGGGAAGGTGCTGGGTCCCTGGCTGGCGAATGAGGTTCACGTACCCATAGTCCTTTGCGTTGGGTGCCCCGGGGCTGACAGGTGCTCCACGTAAAAGGTGGGAGCGCTTTGCTCAGGGAGAGGCAAGGGCTCCATGTACTTGGATACATGATACTGCGTTTTTTGGCTAACTCTATGTGAGAGACTACTCAAACAAGAACAATAAAATGACACTTTGAAAAATAGATTATTTTCTTCTAACCTTTTGTGATGTGTAAGCCTAAAATAAATCTATTTTTGTCTAGTTTCAGAATCTAAGTAAATATTTCTCGAAGGGGACCATTTCCGCCCTAATGCATGTGATCCCTTTAGAAGCCATAATTGTCATTAGATACTCATAACTGTCATATATTCTTTTCCAGTCATATATTCTTTTCTTTTCCAGTCATTTTTATCAGTCATATTTTCTCATTTTTCTTCTATACCTCACAGGACATGGACGTGCACTTGTGTTTTTTTCTTCTAAGGCTGCGTATTATCACAATTAGTTTTGGTTGCCTAAGACTTTTGAAGTTCTTTTCATAAGAGTCATTGGTGAATTAGATGCTAAGCGCATTAGTTGTTTTCTTCAGAACATAATTAAAATATACTTGTTTCTTCTACATTATCTCTGGTCCTCTTCATTTCCATAGCAGAAGATATATATGTATCATTGCAAAACACACGCACACACACACACACACACACAATTGCTGGTGATTATTTGAACCCCAAGAGGACAAAGTGGACGGAACTGGAAAGAAGGGAGGAAAACCAATCATGATTAGCTACTACCCTACAACAGCGGATGAGTTAGGAACGTTTATGTGATTTCATTAATCTTTCAGCAATCCTATGAGATTTAGACTTGCTCTTTTACAGATGTGGAAACTGAGGCTTAGAGGGAGGGGCTAAACGATTTGCCCAGTGTTCCACAGCTTGTAAGTGTCAGAGTTAGGATTCGAACCCAATCCTTGCGACTCCGGGTTTGCATTTTTTCTTGCTGTACCAGGGCTAGAGGGGGCTCGGGTAAGGCTTGAGAATGATACACGGGATGGGCGCCTGCAGAGGGAAGGGCTGAAGAGAAGGCCTTAGTCTGTTCCAAGTTCCAACCATTGGCATGCTTCTCCTTCCCTGGCTCCTGCCCCAAATGTAGACTATTTCTGCAAAATATGGATCCAGCCCTTTGTAATATTTTAATGAGAGGGTCTTCTACTAATGGGGCATCTCTCTTTTGTCTTTCACAGCAATTTTGCAGGCAGTAATAGCTGGTGATCTTATGAAGGTAAGATATCTTCCTACCCGAACTGTTGGTGATTCTTTAAGAACTGTAAATCGACATCATTTTGCACCAAATTTTCATGATCCCATGTATCATTTACCAAACCCCCTGCCTGTGCTGGCTGAGCAGAAAGAGGGAGGATGCTCTTTTGAGAATTGAACAGAGAGAGTGAGAGGAGTTTCCACATCTTCATGTTTTCTGACAGCGAAGGGTTTCTGCAAGAGCACCGTGTAATTTACCTTGACTAGTGAAAATGGACTGCATGTCCCCAGAATACAGGGCTCGCAGTGCCTGGAATTCCTGCTCTCCAGAAGCTGATATTGGAGTTTAAAGACTTCTTTCCAGACAGGTCTTAAAATCTGTAAGAATTACCTGGACAACACCCAGAAATACATCCTCCAGGCCAGAGCCTGTGTTTTTCAGTATTGTTACAGTTTGGTATTTTGGGGCTCACAGTAAACCAAAAGAAGATACTCTGTCTGATCCACCTTGAACGTTTTAATTTGTGCTTATGTTTCCGGTGAATTCTAGTTCAGAGTGAAGGAAGCGGTCTCTGATGCCTCTAGATAGAGTGCAAATTCTGAAGTCAGGTTACCTGGGTTCAGATCTTGGCTGTGCCATTCACTATATCTGTGACTTTGTATAATTACTGAATTCTCGCTGTGCCTCAGTTTCTTCATCTATAAAATAAAATAATAGTATTGCATCTCTCTTTGCTTCGTCGTGAGGATCGACTGTAATAATACTCTTAAGATTGTTCCTATTACATAAAAGGGACTCAAAAATGGTAGCTATTCTATTAACGTAGTGTTAGGCTCTGTTTTTTTTTAAATAGCTAAACGTAGTGCAGATGCAAATGTATAATATAGTCTGGGACTATTCTAAAAGTTATAATTGGCTTCCATGTCCTTTTCAGGTATCGGGTCTTAGGACCACCCATATGTCCCTGTATAACCCACACTGGCATTGATCTGTCCCAGAGGCAGGAGCTATGTCTTACTTATCAGCTGTGGAGTATGGTGCCTTAGCAGATAAGAAACCAAACGCCTCAAAAGAAAGCTGAGAAGCACTGCCCCTTACGCAACTTCTCTTGAAGCACGTCTGTTGAATCCACCGAGAAACCTCTGTGCTACATTTTTAACAGGTTCTTAGCAGGAAATGAATGGTGTGAGAAGGTTGCCAGCATCTTAATAAACTGCCATCTTCAGACACATAATCCTGGGAAGGGTGCCTGTGCCACTGTCCAGGTTGTAGTGTTGCTAGGAATTGTTACCCACAAGAGTAGTGTGCCGTCTAAGCAGTGAGTTCAACTTGTGAGTTCAATGCCATTTACCAGCAGTAGATTAAACCAGTACACTCACCTACACGCCCTGCAAGGCCTTATAGTAAATTCTATGAAATAAAGACCGGCATAAGCTCTGAGCCCGGCCTTTGCAGACCTCCTAAGCCAGAACGTTTGGAAACTACTGTACGTTTGAAACCTTTCCATTTTATTTTGTATATATTTTTAGTCTAGGCAACAAACTTTTCCGGGTCCCTGAGTATACAACCACAAATTTTTTGTGCTTTATAGAAAATTATTTGAGGTATGAGAAATCACGATATTCAGTCAGTTGTCTTATTACATCCTCTGTTGTGATTACTTCCTAAAAGACTAAGAAATGATGTCATAACACCTTGTTTACTGAGAGCTGAAATATAGGGGCTTAGAGGTCTTTTTTCACTCTTTTTCTTTCTTACTTTTTTCTTTCTTTTCCTTTCCAAGTATTTTCTTCCCTTTTTCTTTCTTCTTCTCCATCTTCTTTCATTTTTATATTCCATGTAGAAAGCTCAGTAAATATTAAATATTAAAATGGTCGTGTGTGTGTGTGTGTGTGTGTGTGTGTGTGTGTGTACATACTTGAAAGAGGGAGGGAGCACACACATGCCAGTGAGCAGAGGACAGAAGGCTGCAGGAGCCACCTCAGTGTGAGGGCTGTCGTGAGTCACCTGTGTACAGCTGGGCTGCATAAGATGCCTGTGGACCGACTTCGTGTTCACAGTGACTAGAAACACCAAGAAAAGTCAAAATCAAGGCAGCAGATGGATTGGGGCACTGTAAGACAATGCAGTTCAACGGAACAGGATTCTCTTAGATTTGGGGGGAAGACAATTAGCTACTTCTTCCTGTCCTGTTGCTCCAGTTTAGGTATGAAAGTCTCTGTTTCTTACTTCCGTTCAACTACTCCTTTTTGGTCTATTTTCTAGGATGTCTTCCATGACTTTTTCCGTCCCCTACTTGACTCTTTCCTGGTGCCCTGGGATAACCCCACATGGTCCCGGCCCCGCTATGCCTGTATGATTCTTGATCCAGCCATCTCCCCCATGGAGTGAAAGGTCTTTGAGGCCTCTCACTGAGTCATCTTCATCTTTGTTTCTCTGGCGTCTGACACATGGCAGTTCTATAGCTGTGTCTGAGCGAAAGCACGAAGTGTGTTTACGCTCTCGGACCTTACGAGATGCTTGATTTTTTAAATAATGTCATGCCATCTGACTTCTTGGTGGTCGACACATCCCTTTTGCTTATTACCTGCTGGGTAATTTGATTCTTCTTTGTCCTAAAATTACCTTTTCGAAGCTCCAGAAGGCTCTTCTTGTTTTGATATAGTAGTTTGGAGAATAGGGACCCATTTACACTTTCTATAATGTTTAATATTTCATGAAGTTAGCTATATCCTCATTTAGCCACCTTATTCTCAGGCTGCAAACTCTGTTTTTTTTCTAGGCTGTTCTCATATTTTAGGCATTTTAGGTTTCTACTACTATGTTCTCTGAATCCTTTCGGTTCTCATCCCCCAGATGGTCTCCCTCCTCGTCGGGTCGATGCTGGATGATTAATGAAAGGCATGCAGGCTGGGCTGCAGAGCTGGCCGAAGAAGGGAACCATACTTGTGTGTGCTTGTGTATGCTTTGTGCCCACGAGCAGTGATCCGACAGGAAAATGGGGAGCAGCTTCTATATTTGGTAGCTAGGTTCGTTAGAAATTGAAGAAAAAAAAAAACGAAAGGAAAGGCGCTTAGCAACCAGACACCAAGCTAGTCCTGCCCATCGCCCTAGTTATTCTTTTACTCAAGAAAAAGCTGGGCTGACACAGGAAAGTGGTTATTCTCTTCTCGCTGTCCTCCACTCCCTTGGGACAGGGACCAGTACCCAGAAAATGAAAATAAAAGTCAGGGAAAAAAAAAAAAAAAACAGAAAGAAAGAAGTACTTTAGCGTGTTTCAGTTTCCTGAGGCCGTTCAACACCCACGTACCCTCCCCAAAGTGAGCGAGAAGCTGGCCATCTGTTAGAGCGAGAGCACAATTCATCTCGCTGACTTTTCTCTGCGTCCTCTGTGGCTGGAAGCATTGGTAGTTTGCTGCATTACACTTATTTCATCACCGGTTAGCCATTTTCCTCGTTCCGGACTCTGTCTGAGCTGCTTTTCCTATGTCTCTTTTTCAGCTAATAGAAAGCTATAAAAATGGAGGCAGCCTGCTAATTCAGGGACCAGACCGCTGCTCACTCCTTCACCACGCGGCCAAAACCGGCAACGGGGAGATCGTGAAGTACATCCTTGACCACGGTGAGTCCGCGCAGCGAAATCAAGGAGCTCGTGTCCGCGAATCCGAGTTGACTTTTGTCTTCGGAATGGTGGCAACGCTCTCCAGCTGTCAGCTGACTCTCTGTGGTTAGCTGAGGCGGCTGGGAGTGCAGGCCACTGCCCCATACCGGAAGCTTAATCAATCAATTCCTAGAGATAGTTTTCTTTTCTTCTTTCTTTCTATTTTATATTATTTTATATTATTTCGTTTGTTTGTTTGTTAGTTTGTTTGTTTATTTATTATGGTGACATTGGTTAATGAAATCCAGTAAGTTTCAGCTGTACACTTTAACAGTAAGGCATATATTTTTACACTGTTTTCACCCCCATAATTAGATTTCTTTCTGTCACCGCATATTTGACCCCATTTACCTTGTCTACCTTCCCCCTCCTCCCTACCCTCTGGTAACCACTAGTCTATTGTCCATGACCATGAGGCTCTTTTTGTTTGTCCTGTTCATTTGTTGCTTTTAGGTTTATATCTCACATATAAGTGGCATCATGTGATTTTCAACTGTTTCTGTCTGGCTTATTTTGTTTAGCATGATTATCTCATGGTCCATCCAGGTTGTCGCAAATGGCAGTATTTCATCTCTTTCTGTGGCTGAGTAATATTCCATTGTATATATGTACCACAGCTCCTTTAGCCAGTCATCTATCATAGAACACTTCGGTCGCTTCCATGTCCTGGCCACCGTGAATAATGCTGTTATGAACATCGACGTGCAAATATCTTTTTGGATATGGGTTTTCAAGTCTTTGGGGTAAATATCCAGTAGAGGGATTGCTGGATCATATGGTAGATCGATTCTTAGTTTTTTGAGGAACCTCCATACTGTTTTCCATTGTGACTGTATCAATCTGCAGTCCTACCAGCAGTGTATGAGGGTTTCTATTTCTTTGCATCCTCTCCAACATGTGTTATTACTTGTCCTGTTGATTACAGCCATTCTAACAGGTGTGCGATGGTATCTCACTGTGGTTTTGATTTGCATTTCCCTAATAGCTAGTGATGTTGAGTATCTTTTCATATAGTTGTTGGCCATTTGTATGTCCTCTAGGGAGAAGTGTCTGTTTAGGTTCTCTGCCCAAGAGATAGTTTTCATATCAAGGTCTTTGCAGAGCATTTGGCAACTGGTTAATTAAAAGATAAAAGACAAAAACCAATGCAGCCTGGCATAATGTACCTTATTGTTTAGGGAAGAGCTTTTGTGTTTAGGGGTTGGGACCATGTACCTAATCCATATTCATAGCTGATCATTCTGAGGATTAATGAGTGTATTTTGTCCATACGTATTTATTTATTTATTTTTGCTGTTTGGATCTCGTTCAACTTTTTGGCTCAAGTCACACTTTATTCTTTTTGGAAGCATCTAGTAGTTTTCTGTCTTCTACGGCAGTCCATGCTCACCTCCTAGGCAGCTTCCTACCTGGGCATCTGATTTAGTGTTAGAACATCTGCTGGAAGTAGCCATGTATTTTAACATCTTCTTCAAACAGCCCTGTAGAGGCATAAACACAGGTGATGCTTACTAAATCTGAACTCTTCCTTTCAGCTTTTCATGTTTATAGTGTTTCTAGGATAAAGAACAGGAATAAAGGGGGAAAAAAATCTGCCTGGCTTGGCTATTTTGGAGGGAGAAGGAAAGGGACAGTCTCTATCTGTGATAGAGATCCTGGAAGATTTTCTGTGACCCCTAGCAGTGAGCCTGTGGCCTGCCCTCTAGGCATCCAAATGCAGGCTGTAAAAGAGAAGTATATTAATTCGTAGACATTCATATTCCTTTTGCTCTTCTTTTTCAATTCACATATCTTATTTCATTCATTCATTCATTCATTCATTCGTTCGTTCAGTTATTCAACAAATATTTGGAGTACCTAATAGGAACTGCCTGTTATAGACCAGCACACACACACAAATAAAACACAGTCACTGTTTTCAATCAATTGCAAGCTAAAGAAAAAATATAATCGCATGCATAATTAAATTTAAAACAGTCGTATATAGATGTTTTAAGTCCTATTGTAAAGCCACAAGTAGATAACACAGCTACCATTTATCCGGCGCATGTTATATGCCAGATGCTGATACTAAATACATTTTATCATCAAATCTTGACAAGGACCTCGTAAGGTAAGTCTTAGACTGTCAGTCACATGAGACTCACCTGCTTTGTCTTTAATACCTTCTCACCGTGAAGAGTTTGCTTGAACCCTTGGCCTCCATTAGGCTGG